CCCTCGACACCCTGACCTTTAACCCCTCGGTCTCCAACTCTAACCCCAGTTTGAGCTTGTTTTAAAGTTTGGGGGGTAGTGGGTCTCCTCCCAGCTGGCTCCCAGGTGGAGGGACACCCGCTTACTTAGGCTGGGTCCCAGTTTGAGGACCTCTTCTGGTCTAACATGGAAAGCACACATTTTTGTTTCCCAAAATATACATCCAACTTCAGTTATATTTACTTTTCCCTTCCCAAACCGATACTCAGTGGAGTTTTGACCAAACATGTCCACCTCACGTCTCAGTGATCACATGCTATTAAAACGACCAGCTGGACCAGGCCGATGCCGCCTGACATAAACTCCTCTGAAGAGTTTTCAGAAGATGAAACCGCATTTAAAAAATGTGAGTAGGTTATTAAATGAAAGAAGGAGCAGTGTGCTCTTTCAACATGCAGCTCAGTACCAGAGGTTCGTCTGAGGTTTTGGGTGGCCTGTGTGAAAAAGGACTTGTCATCGCCTCAGAGGTAAGAGCAGGAAGACAAACCCAGCTGACCTTTGACCCTCAGCATTTTTACCTCCTGACGTATTTAATTTTTACGTTTTTAACTTGACGATGGACTGCTGTATTCCGGCGGGACTGACTTTGGAGTTTTTCATCCATTTTCAAGAAATGTTTTTAAAAGAAGTGCACTTCATCGCTAACTGGACCAGTGTGCCGTTCACACACACACAAATACACACACTTTTATGCAAACAGACTGAATCAAGCAGAGCCAAGCAGTGCTTTACAATTACATGTTAAAACACACATAGAGCACCAGCAACGTTGTAATAACTGCGAACGGCTCTTTTGTCATGTGCTGTAGAGCAGTGTGCCCAGGAGCCAGTCACATCCCTGCATCTGTGTCACATGATCTTTGTTTAGCCTCTCATAACAGTCTGAGGAAATATTCAAAATTGTCCTTAAATGTTCAGAAATCCTGGTGTGGGTTGGTGTTCTTATATATGGATTTTCCTGAAGACTGAATCCAAAACTTGTGTGTCAAGTTTAGTTGTGTGAAAATCTGTTTTTTATTTCAACTGGCTGATGAGCTGTTCTGAGGTTGAGGAAAGTCTTTGGCCGCTGGACTTTACAACTCTATGGAGAGACATGTCCGCCAAGAAACAAACAAAAAAAAACCAAACAGATGAACAATTGGTAAATCAATATTTAGAGACATGAAGTCAAAATTATAAGGTTAATTAAAATTTTGTCTCTAAGTAGAAATTCTGAGTCAAATTGACTTGTGAGTATGAGAGCCTGAGTTAATATTTTGAATTAAGTCAAACTTATAAAATTGTAAATCTGTCAGTAAATAACAATTAGGAGTTAAAAAGTCACAATTTTAACTTTGATTAAAATAATGACAAGTTGATGGTTGTGAACAGAACTTTGAATTACCATCTAATATCTTTGATTAAGTATATTGACAAATCTTGAGTATTTAGATTTTTGTTGTTTCTAATATTTCATTTCATTATTTTGTTTTCCTGGCGGATACGGGCTTTTATAGTAAAACCCTTCAATGACAAATTTGAGCTAAGCCTATATTGCTTACTTTCTGGAAAGTTTTCTCTGGACAGCACTAAAACAAGAAAATGCATTTGGGATGTATCTATACTAGTTCACCATTTAAATGACTACATCTGATCTGGTAAGACCTGTAAAGTTTTTTGCCTTATGTCATATTGGGTTTTTGATTTAACAGTTTTATTTTTGTCATTCTAAACTTTTTTTTTTTTTCTGGCAGAATTTTGTATCCATAGTTAAGTGTAATTAGTCCCACCTCCACACAGCTGCATAAAACTACTGTAAAGAAAAGACACTCAGAGCTGAAAACAGATACTGCAAACAAGTCCTGCAACAATGGGTAACAACCAGACATGTTTTAACCAGCGTGATCTTAGGAGTATTTAGTAAACTGAAATAACCCCAACACTACGGCTAGCATCGTTTTAACTGATACTCAGCAGATGGAACAGCTTTTTGATTTGGGTTAAACGATGCTGGTGCTTTACAGGAGGGAAAGAAGAACCAAAGGCTTGATGAGTTAGTCTCAATCTGAATGAATGATGACTGGTTCCTATAAAGATGGGAAGGAAGGAATTGCAGCTCAAAGGCTTCATGTTTGTTCATAATTCTTACACTAAACTAAATTTACTCTGCCGGAGAGCCACTTCTGACAAAATAATTGCCACTGAAGACGATCCTGCTCAGGATCCTCTGTGTTGCCTTCAGATAAAAAATATTCCTGAAGTCTGTTGTAAGTGTTTTCTGATGAACAAGCGAGCTACACTGATGCATTGTCAAACTAAAAACCAATACAAAGTCAGAGTCCTGTAACATAAAAAAAACTCACTCAGTTGTAGTAAAGGGATAATTAACACTGCTGTGTCTTTTAAAGCATCAAATTGCTGCGTGTTTTATCCCACAAACTGTGTTGAATTAAACTTAATCAAACCACTTCAGACCACAAATTTCAGTGTGTCAGTGAACTTTGAGCTACGTTGTCAAAATTAAATCTTAAGTTAAAACTATAATTAAACATGGACAGAAAATAAAAATGTTAAAAGTTAAAGGTCCTAAACGTGCAGAATAATCTGTGTGGTCCTTAAAATGAAAATCATTCAACTCACTGCTTCCTTATGTCTGATCTATTGGAAGTCATGAACATTCCTGGAAAACTAACAATGTAAACATGAACAAAATCACGTATAATGACAGCAATAACAGCTTAACAGGTAATTTAATTTATTATAGTAATTTGTATTTTCACAGTGTAAATTACTGACTTATTCACAGAAAAGTTATTTCTAAAGATGTAGTTAGTGGATGTTTTATATTTTTCAAAACAACTGTTTGAGAAGTTAAATTAACCTGTTGTCAAACGTATTGGGTTTTTTTTTGGGGTCATTTTCTTTTGAGCCATCATGTAACAGATGTTTTATAAATGTTTTCAAATTTGCCTCTTTTTTTTTTTTTTTTTTTTTTTTTTTTGTCAAGCAGATAATTGTAAAAAAAACAAAAACAAATATGTGCTGGTTGGAATAACCTGCAACCATATAAGTTTTATATTTTTAAGAAAAAACAACTTATTTTAACAACTTTGAATTTTTATGAAGGGCTATTCTCGTATTCCACTCTGTAGAGAATGAAGACTTTTGTACATAATGGTGTAAAGTGAAATGGTCGTCCAGATATGTTGATGTACAATAATTATTTTGCTATTACATCAGATGTCTTACTAAATACAGAGATATAAATAAGAATTGCTCCATATAATCATTTTCCTTTCTTAGACTAATTACAATGTTGTTGAGTCGCCTTGACATTTTGAATTTGTAGTTTGTTTGCTAACAGACATTATGGAAATGGAAAGTTTTAGCATTTGTCTTTACTGATGCTGAAAACAACATCAGTAAAGTAGCGTTGTCACTATTTGTCAATCACTGTTTTTAATGAATAACTATTTTGCTAAAGACTACTTATTTATTGGTGTCAATGGAGATGTATACATTCTCAAAAAAATTTTATATAATGTAATTAAAATACCGTAATACCAGAAAACATTGATATTTGACGATGAACCAAAACCTCATATTACTTTCAAATGTTTTTAAATTATTATTATTTTTTTTTTTATGTTCGCTTGTGTAGACTGTGGTATGGTTATGGTCAAAGCAAGACTTATTATTGGTAGAACCCCTATTTGTGGCTGTCTTGCTAAATTAGCTTGTTGCTATCTTCCTGATATTTTAATGCTAACAATACTCTCTAGGCATTGTTTTATAAAAGGGACATAATATTTCACCCATCGTTAAATGCCATGGGAGATGAAAATTATAACACTACAAATTCAAAATGTCAATACAAGCTAATAAAAGCACATAAAGCCATTATGTTGCATAGTATTATACATATTTTGCTGCATTGGCACTGTCACTGTTTTCATTTTAATTGAAGCCATGTAACCACTACACCAAGGCACTCTGACGCCCTGAGGACTACTTTTCATTAAGGCAGTGATGAGACTGTGAAGATGTCACAGTCTTATGTTAACTTTATTGTAACTTGTACCTTGTTGGGAGGAACTCACTGCTGAGTGTCTTTCATGACTTTGTTTGCTTTTGCTTGATACAGTATTACAACAAAATTGAAATAAAATTCACACAGCGGCCATTTTGAACATTTGGGAAGATATGACTAGCTAGCTCTGCGCTAAACTTCTGCCAACCTAGATGAAATACACATAGCATATTCATGTCACTTTTGAAGTGGAAAAATGTTACAAACTAGAATTACACGAATAGATTCACATTTTAAAATTTGGTTTGTAGCTAATGTTCGCTAGTGTTAGCTTCCCTCGGTAATGTTAGCTAAGTTATTTCACTGTACTAAGCTAGTTAGCTTCCCAGCTAGCTGTTACAGAAGCTTCTTACAGAAATTTTCAAGAAGGCTGCTGTGAGAATAAGGTCAGAGGGGACTTTTCCTGCTACATTTCAGGTTCTGTGAGGTCACTGTCCCCTGTATATTTTTATTATTTTTTTGTTTTGCTGACCTTAACTGCTTTTGTCATTAAACAGCAGCTTCAATTTTAAAGTATTCTCTTGCCTGTTTTCTGGGGAGAGCCCTGTGGGTTATATGATCGTCTCTGATCTGTGCACATGGATTGCTATACAGAACAGACTTTAAAAAACTGCATACAAATTGATAAATCGTACGCTTTAAACCTGGGGCAAGTTCAATTTCAAAACATTTGGCACCCGTTTCCTGGTGGCGTTTCGAGGAAATGGTTTGCAATTACTCAATTGGCTTCTCTCATTTGATGGGTGTGTCTAAGGTGTTGCCCAATCAGCTGCAACAAGTATACAAACACAGCCGTATTAAAAAGGCAGTAAAGTGCAGTGTGCTGGCGTAGACAACAGGGTGTTCAAGGCACCACAGTTTATGTTGGAATAAATGTATTGCTGAACTCAGCTCTGGAATAACTGATTTAATTGAGCACTTTGAACACAACATTGGCATATAATCACTTTTTAAGTTGAAATGGTGAACTTGCTTAGTTGCTCATTGAAATATCCAGCTGTTACGGAGCAACATTATCATTAATTTGGAGTCAAGTTGGTGTCACATGATGAATGTCCAATTCACTCTCTTTTAGCTCTTTTTTTGGTCTCAATAAAGTAACTGTGTCCATCTGCAGCCTAAAATGACGCTACATATGAGAGGGGTGACAGTGAACCAAATCAAAAAAAAAAAACAACAATAACTGCTTTCAGAAAAATAATAATTATTACTGTTAAATGCAACATGCTGCCACAGACTCGTATCATAAATTGCTGTAAGCTGTGCTAAGAACCTTATAAACAGCACATGTATGGGCTAGTTTTGTACTAGTACTACTTGTAGTGAACAAAAAACAGTCAGTGAACACTTACAGTATCTTTAAACTGAGCCAAACAAATGAAATCAGTTAAGGGATTCGGTATTTGACATCTCACTCTGAGAAAGGATCCAAATACAGTATCGGCACATTTTCCAAAATGTTGAACAGTTCCTTTAAGGCAGGACTCTGACCGCCGAGCTGCATGTTATATAAAATGTACAATCAATAACAATATTCTGTCAGCAATCTGTTTAATGACATACAAAATTAAGTAAAGAAATACAATATAAAGTCAATGATGTTAGTAAAAATGAATTCTGTTTCTGAGACTAGTTTGTCGTCTTGTAAATATAATCACATACTTTAATCATACAGTAATGTTCGAATTTCATTTATGATGATTGATTAATGTGATTTGTTTTATTATGAAATTAAGAACAGAGGATACAGCTTTTCGTACACATTTCATACCCCTGTGTGTTTCATTAAAGCTGTTCAGTCTTTTTCTCATCCTTCTCCCCCACGTTGAAAAACTTCCTGGACTTCTTCTCTCCTTTTGGTAGATGCTCTCTCCCTCGGCTGATGACTGGCTGTCTTCTCTGCAACTCATAGGTATCCTCCAATACAATGTCTCCTCTGGGAGAGTAGTTGATGGATGACCAGGTGAGGACAGAGCCACTGTACGGCCTAAAAAAATGAAAGAAAAAATAAACACATTTTCGAAAGGTGGATGTAAAACAAGTCCACGAAGTTGATAAATTGTACAATATTTAAAGAGGTGGTTTCATGCTTTCTGGCTTTTCCCTCTCCTTTATTGAGTTATATACCTTTTTTGTGCATGTAATAGGTTTGCAAAGTGATTAAACCATGTAAACCTGTTCTGGTACAACCCCTAAATAAGATCTTGAACCTGAAAATGAGCATAATACCACCTCTTTAATTGATATGAAAGGTGATCACATACACATAGACACCGCCAGTCATGTAGTTGAAGATTTCTTTGTAGTGGAGAGGATAATTCCACACCTGGACGTCTGTCAGCTGACCATCAAAACCTGGAAACTCAATCACGGGCTCACCTACCCAGACATACTGAACACACACACGGACACAAAAATCAGATAGTTAACATTAGACAAAATGATGGTGATTGAAGATGACTACATACAAAATCCAACAGGTGGTAAAACAGTTTGTAGTCCTGTAGTCAAATATCTGTGGAGATTCTCAGTCATCCAGTTCATAGTTAACCACGGAAGGTTCAATTAATGGAACCTGGACGTGTTTGAAGATACTAAAAGATGTTTTAAAACTCATCCAAGGGGCTTCTTTAGTTCTGACTAACTGGCAGGGAGTCCCAGTTATTTAACCTCTTTGGGGTCGTTATCATGGGGATAAATGCACAGACCCTACTGTATATATTGGGGAAAGTAATCAACTCCTACACAAATGCATGGCTCAACACAGAAGGATCAACTCCTCAGGTCAAGACTCTAGATTTTGGACAGGAAGGACAGATTGTTTGAATGAGGAGTGGAAGAAGCCAAAGAAGAAGCCATCAACACCAAAGTAGAAAAACTTTCTCTCAACAAAGGAGGTGGTCTACAACATGACGTATCCCCCACCTACAAGACTGTCCTTTGCCTCATGTCACAATGACAACGACTGTCATTCAGATTTAGCCTCACGTGAATCCAATGACTGTTGTAACAGCGAGCAGCACTAATGAACCAAGCAGTATCCATCACCTTGGTATAGATTCCAGTTGTTTAATGGCTGGGATTTCGTACCAGTCAGTCAGAACTGAGGAATCCCCTTCAATGAGAGATGAAACGTCTTCAACCAAGTCCAGTTGCTCTTAATTGACCTTCCCTTTGACCCTATGTGTCAACTTTTTAAAGCCCTTTTCAGACACTGAATACAAAACATTGCAGGCTTTATCTAACTGTTATTAAAGTGACGGCTTTTGTCATTCATACAGTATGTTTCTGTTATTGTTCCTTTCAGTTTTATTCACACATGAAAGGAGAGTTAGAGAAACTTAATATTTGTCGCAGGTAGACTAAGTGGGGGAGATTCACCCACCTGACGCGCGAGCTACAGTATATATGACTCAGATCCAGTGGCTGTGTTTTATAGATTTGCAAGAAAACCCGCAATCGTTGTGATGGATACAAGGCAACCAAAAAAGCATACATTTTTTATGCCTTTCTATTTGGCGATCAACAGTGAAAAACAATTATCAGCTAAAAATAAGACTTCCTCTCTCCTTTTATTTACAAAATTAACTAGTGGACAGGGGATATCCCTATTGCTACCACTCCAAAACCATGCGACTCAATTATCGTTAAAAAAAGATGGTGTTAACACAGACTCTACCTGGCTCCTACAGTGGTTGTTTTTTTTTTTTTTTTATCTCTCTTGCTCCACACCACAAGGAGGAAAATATTGCTTTTAAAGACTGATGTGATACGAGAAGAACTCGTCCACAACTTCAAACTGACTCATTCACAGTGGTTTGTGGTTTATTTACCGGATTATATTTCACTGAGACCGTAATGCCGTCTATAAGGCGGCAGGTGTAGCTAATGTTCAATTTCTAATCAAACAGCAGCAGGTGGTAGAGGCGCTGTGATAAACTTTATTTATTTCATTTTTCAGACTGAAAACAGTCCTTAGGCATCTGGTCCAAAGACTGCAAATCTACAAAAGTTAGCCTGGTTCTACCCCGCAGACCCGCTACTACCCACATCTCAATGCAAAGCAAGTCAAATATGTTTCAGTATGTGCTACTCTGTCCTCACCTTAAGTGGCAGCATCTTCCTGATGCTAATGCTCGAGCCGTTGAACATCTGGGCCACACCCTTCACGGTGTCCACGGTGAGGCAGATTCTGGTCCAGATGTCCAGTCCAATGTTTGACCAGAACCTTATGTTAGGACGCAAGTCCAAGTAGTAGGATTGGTATCCGAAGTTCAGTCTATACACACCAGGAGAATTGGCCACCAGCTGCATACGGTTTCCGCTGGATGGACTGAGCGTGAAGATTGTGTTGTAGTCGCTATCAGTCAGGTAACGCAGACACACGGAGACACCTGCAGGGGTCATATGGGCCGTGTTGATTGACAAATATAGTTGACAGTAAAAATTTTTTTAAAAAACCCACACATGATCTGTTTAGTTGTTTTAGTATTAATAAAAAGCAAACAGCTTAAAATAGAGTCCCCTCCAAAAGTATTGGACCGGTAAGGCAAATTCCTTTGTTTTTGTCATTCACTGAAGACATTTGGGTTTAAGTTCAAAAGATGAGTCTGAGACAAGAGTTCAGAATTTTATCTTTTATTTCCTGGTATTCACATCAAGATGTGTTGAACAACTCAGGACATAACAAGGAAATAATCTTAAAATAAATAACATTTAATATTTGGTGGCATAACCCTTGCTTGCAATAACTGCCACAAGCCTGCGACCCATCGACATGACCAAACTGTTGCATTCTTCATTTGTGATGCTATTCCAGGTTTTTACCGCAGCTTCTTTCAGTTCTTGTTTGTTTTGGGGTGTTTCTCCCTTCAGTCTCCTCTTAAGGAGGTGAAATGCATGCTCTATTGGGTTAAGGTCAGGTGATTGACTTGGCAAGTCTCAAACCTTCCACTTTTTTCCCCTGATGAAGTCCTTTGTTTTGTTGGCAGTGTGCTTTGGGTTATTGTCCTGCTGCATGATAAACTTCCTCACGATTAGTTTCAATGCATTTCTCTGTAAATTGGCAGACAAAATATTTCTGTAAACTTCTGAATTCATTCTGCTGCTACCATCATCACTTCCATCAACAAATATTAATGAGCCTGTTCCTGAAGCAGCCATGCACGCCCAAGCCATGACATGACCTCCACCATGCTTCACAGATGAGCTTGTATGCTTCGGATCATAAGCAGTTCCTTTCTTTCTCCACACTTTGGCCTTTCCATCACTTTGCGAGAGATTAATCTTCGTCTCATCAAGATTGTGTTCCAGTACTTTTGCGGCTCATCTTTGCAAATTTCAGTCTGGCCTTCCGATTCTTCCTGCTGATGAGTGGTTTGCATCTTGTGCTGTGGCCTCTATATTTCTGCTCTCGGAGTCTTCTTCCAACAGTGGATTGTGATACCTTCACCCCTGCACTGTGGAGGTTGTTGGTGATGTCACTTACTGATGTTTTGGGGGTTTTCTTCACAGCTCTCATGATATTTCTGTCATCAACTACTTTTCTTGGCCGACCTGTTCGACGTCTGTTGCTCAGTAGTTTCTTTTCCAGGACATTCCAATGTTTTGGATGATTTTCCTTATTTTCTCAGCTTGACAATGGCTTGCTTTTCTCCCCTAGACAGCTCTCTGGTCTTCATGTTGGTTTATCCTCTTTAACAGGAAATGCAGTCTTTAGAGGTTTGAACCAAGGATGAAAACTTGGACTAGTCATGCAGAGCTATTTAATGTTCGGACAATCAAGCTAAAAGGCAACATCTGGGTAACAAGAAACATCTGTCAGTCACATGTTCCAATAGTTTTGCTCACTTGAAAAATGGGTGGGTTTAAACAAAGGTTGGTATGTCCTGAGTTGTTTAACACATCTAGATATGAATACCAGGAAATGAGAGCTGAAATTCTGAACTCTTATCTCATACTCATCTTAGATCTTAAACTCAAATGTCTTCAGTGAACAACAAAAACAAACGAATTTGCCTTAACATTCCAATACTTTTGGAGGGGACTGTACACAACAGATAGATATAGACAATGGAAATAGGTTAACAGCTTTAACTTTTCATTATTTAACCAGTCTTTACATACATACTTAAACAAGTGTTTTATTTGTCTGAACATAGCTATATATGGTCCTGGGAACTATGTTGTTGCTAGGTGCATATATTGTGGGAAAACAAGCAAAAGTATTGGAGTATATATTTATATTATTATATTATTTACAAATGTATCGTTCAATATGAACATTTTGCAGTGATAGTGAACATTTTGTTAAATGTGCACAACCTGCCCAGTGCAGAAGCTGATCCAAGATAACTGATTTTTTTCTGTCACACATTAAACACCAAGTTAAACTGAACATTTAGCTAGCCAGAAAGAAACAGTTATGTTGTGTTAAATTACCACTAAAGTCTTTCTGCTCCCTTGTGGTCAGAAATCACTTATTGCAGCTTATATATTTCAGGGATCTATTGACATAAATGCAATATAATATACACAACTGTTTTCAGTGGTGTATAAAGACCTTACATAATGAGCCATTTGTATCTACATACACCACAGGTCGCCTTACACGGAAGTAGCAAATGGAGGACCACACCTATTATTTAGCACAAGAGCCGACAGAGCGTGTCAGACACCGTAGCTTCTACTACACGCTTGGAAAGTGAGCGGTGAGAGGTCACTGAGCTGTTGTTTGCAATTCACAACCCTCACCACTAGATGGCACTAAAACTAACACACTGAACCTTTAATCTGCATAACAAGAGAACTGATTGATTCTAGAGTTACTTTTGTCAGACGAAACTAAACGAAACATATTTGTCAACAACCTTTTTTCGTGACTAAAACGAGACGATGACGAGACGGCGACAATGTACTTAAACACTGACTGTGACTATATTAACATGCAATACTGTTGACGAAAAATGACGACATTAAAATGTAATTCATAAAATAAAAACGTTAATAAAGTCTCTCTTTATTTTTGTCAATATAATGAGGAGGCAAGATTTTATTTTATTTTATATTAGTATTTTTTTTTTAAATTAAAATTAAAAAAATTAAAATTAACACTAGATTTCACAAACAAGCATGTAAAATTAATTTAATGTGGGAACAATGTTCTGGATTCTGTTCCTGTTCATCATCTAACAGCAACAGGAAAAAAATACCAGAGGGCTGGTCTGTAGAGTAAAATAACATTTTGGATTTCACATCTCGACACTGTTTCTGTTTAGTTTGTGAATTCACCTGTAGTAGGGGAGGTGGTGGTGGTGGTCCAGGGACGGGTGGTGGTGGTCCAGGGACGGGTGGTGGGACGGGTGGTGGTGGTCCAGGAACGGGTGGTGGTGGTCCAGGGACGGGTAGTGCTCCAGGGACGGGTAGTTCTCCAGGGACGGGTAGTTCTCCAGAAAGGAGTGGACGACCAGGGGGGACTGGTAGGAGAAAAATAACTGGGGGGATAGAAAGATAATCCTCCTCTATACTCAGACAAAGTGAACATCTTCCCGATTAAATTTAGTCCAGAAGGTCCTGGAGAGAGAAAGAGGAAGAGATACACAAACACGTTGTCAGCATAATGTAAACTCTCGTAAAAACGGTCAATTTTGTTGATATATGTACTGTGATAATTGGAGTTAACTGTTTCGTTACAATATTGTAGGAAACGTTTGCTTTTATCTTTAGTTTGTCTTGACAATACTTTTTTACTTCCCGACTCAGTCTTTAGCACACAGCCATGTCTGTTAGTTCCTATAGAAAAAAAGGGCTCACAAATACAGTTTACTTTTTTAAAAGCCTCATTAATTTTCCAAAACAGATGGTTACAGAAGTGTTCATCTGACATTACTAGGAGGAAATAAAGCATTCATTGGGGACTATTTTCAGCAACGGATCCACATTTGGTGCTCCGGTGAATATTTCCAGCAGCAGGACCGTGTGTGTGTGTGTGTGTGTGTGCGTGTGTGTGTGTGAGATGGAGTTAAAATAAACTGTGATGTGTGTTCATGGTGATGAAGGAACATGTCACCCAGGGCCACAGTGTGGCTCACTGATGTGTTTTTAGCTTTTAATAGGATATGTTAAATACAAGTAAAATACAGATTATTAGTTATTAATTATAAGGGTTTGATTATCTAAAGTCTAACTAAATTACACAGAATCACAGATTTTCCATACTTACATGTTAAACAGATAATTAACTATCTAACAGGTAACTTGTGCTACTCTACTGCTTTCGTGAAACCGAGTCACAGATTAATTCAGCCAGGATATTTGGAAAAATTTCGGCTCATTCCGCTATCCTGGTTTTGGGAAACAGCCCTCTAGAGGACCATTTGAATCCTGTTTTTACCAACACACACACACACACACACACACACACACACACACACACACACACACACAGAGGCTACACTTCAGACCATTGGACTAATATTCACTTATCCTACTGTTGCACAGTGTGGATAAAAGTGTCTTCTAAATGGATATCATGCGGTTTAAACGTAGTTTTGTTTTTAATCTGCATTTAACAAGTCATTTGAGATAATGAAAAATCTTTTCAAACTCCTCACCTGTTGTCGTCGTCCATGATGTAGTCCTGACAGTAGTAGTTGTAGGAAGAGGTTTTTTAGTTGCAGACCTAGTGGCAGAATCCGTGACGACCAATGCTGACATCACCGGCATCACCATTAGAACATAAAGCATCTTCATCTTCATCTTCACCCTGCTGGCCAGAGTCTCTGCAGTGAAGCGTCTTTCTCCGCTCTGAACAGGCTGCACTTCACCTCGTACACTTTCATTTCCTGGTTTCGACAGTTTCATTTCTGTGCGAAGAACCTCCTCCGTGTCTCTCTGAGTCAGTGACGCTCTCCTTTTCTCTCTCACCAGCGTTGCTGCTCAATCACAGCTATTTTAAGCGTTCAAAATGTGATAAAACTAGTTTCATGTCTCTGCTATTAAATGGTGTAACTGTTATCGCTGCAACACAGACAGAAAATGCATTTAGTCTCAAACACAAGGAATAAAGTGTTACAATTCACTCCACACCAATTTAACATCATGGAATACAGCAATAAACGTGATTTTGGAAGCTTTTTATCCAACAATTATTCAACACCACTTATGTTAAAAGATAATGTGTGTGTGTGTGTGTGTGTGTGTGTGTGTGTGTGTGTGTGTGTGTGTGTGTGCAGGGGGGATCCAAGTATCTTAGTTACTTGGATCAGTCATAGTAGTGACATAGAAGTGAACATAATAATACAATTTAACAAAATGTGCACCAACTGAATAGTATGATAGTGTGTGTTTGTGCTTCTTTGTCTTGCACCATTACAGTGGTGACAGACATACGGCTCCTGGAGTGCAGGCCTCATGGGCCACAGGGAAGCCTAGAGGTCACAAACATTTGAACATAATAATAAGACAATTTAGCAGTTCTGTGTGTGTGTGTCAGACACATGCTGAAATTCATGAAATACAAACTTTTGTAGCCATGAACAAACTTACCTTACAGTTTACAGCTTAATTTATTTGTCAACATTATTTATGTTACTTTGCAGATTCAGAATACTAATACGAAATATAAATCAAAAAATAAATTATGATTGATTTATTATGGGTTAAGCTACACAGCAATACCAGAATAATGCACATGTATATATCTTCAACGTTGTTCTTCAATTCCATATTTATATATTTCCACATTTATTTATTTATGTTGACTGTATGTTTGTCTACCTGTAGCACCTTATCAGCAAAGCAAATTCCTTGTATGTGTAAAACACTACTTGGCATTAAAGCTCCTTCTGATTCTGATTCAATATATAAAGTAATTAAAATGTGCTCCACCTTTATCAACTGCAACATTAAAGTGATGCTTTAATAATTATAATCCAGTTATATGATTGTGATATGTGGCATTCTACATAATGAGTACTTTTACTTTTGATACATATATATATATATATATATGTATATTTTGAGGCTAATACTTTGAGTAAGATTTTGAATGCAGAACTATGTTTACATTGTAGTATTACTTGAATAAAATATTTGAGTACTTCTTCTACCACTGCATGTAGGAGAGAGTTGTCTGTCCAATGTACTATGTCTGTATAAAGTAATTATTTTAAAGTGAATTATGAACTCTTTACAGACATCTATAGAAACCACACACACAATAACAAACCACTGCAAACCAGAACTGAAATTAATGTTAAATTACCAAGTCACTGTGTCAGTAAGTCTCAGCTTTCAGTTCCCTAAAACCTGCCTTATGTCAAAGGTCGATTGAGAGATTTCCATTGGCTGCAGTCTGATTAACCGCCAGGGCAAAAATGAGCTGTGGCCCAGCAGTATTTTCAGTATTGTCAGTGAAGTGCCCTACAAAACCACAAAAAGAAAAATCAGGCACAGCTATGGTTTAAAGGAAAAGTTTGACATTTTGTGAAATACGCTCATTCGCTTGCTTGCAGAGAGTTAAATGAGAAGATAGATTCCACACTCAGGTCTTTATTTGACTATTTCTTGGCCCGGAACAGTTACAGTTTGTTTGGAACAGAAATTGGATATAAAGACGCAGAATATGTTACCACTGGATGGAGCAAGTCTAGCAGTTTTAGTCATTATGCTAAGTTAACCGGCTGCTTCATATTTACCAGACAGGCTTGGAAATGGTATCAATCTTCATCTTAATCTCTGCAAGATAGTGAATTAGCGGATTTTAAATAATATCAAACTTTTCCTATAAAACTTGGTTATGTTTATGCACAGAAATTACTTAGGGTTTGGGAAAGACCACTGTCATGTATGTGAAGATTCACAGTCTATGGAATTTAGTGTATGCTGTCCAGTGCAGTGTGTAATGCACAGGCCTACTAAACTAAACACCACTAAATAAACTCCTAGTTCAACACAGGAGGGTCAACTACTTAGGTCAAGACTCAGCAGTTTACATCTGAAGGACAAGGAAGACTGTTTTAAATGACAACTATGTACAAATTTTGGACAGGAAGGACAGATGGTTTCGAAAGAGGAGTGAAAGAGGCCATTTACACCAGATTAGAGAGATCATTTTAACCTTCCTTGGATTGTCATGGTCAAAAGAAACCAAAATTGGTTGTCGGTTGGAGACAGGAAACAAACTTTGATCAAATTCCAGCGTTGTATTGATCCATTTAACCCAACCTCCTGGACGTGGCTTTCCTTGAAGCAAGTCTCTAAAGATTAGGTAATCATTGCCACCTCAGGGTCCTACCATTCAAATTGTATCGTGTTTTAGTGGTTGATATTACCAAATAAACTGACAGTTAATCAAATACTACCAGACAGCTGAGGGCCCCTGTGGGCCTGGAGCCCCGGGGCAGTTGCCTGCTTTTCCAGTCGTAGAAGTACATTTACTCAAATTCGGTACTTAAGTAAAGTTTAAGGCATTTGTATTTTTATTTGCTTTTACTTTATATTTACATGATCGAACTGCGAGAGTAATTATCTTGTCAACAAATGATCTTTGATTTTGTGGCTCAGTCTGATGACATCATCACTAATCAATGCTGACCAGTCCTCCAGACTTTCTTCTTTCTTCTTTTACTCCTTCATTTATTAACCCTGGATTCTTCCTACTTTTACTGTTTTAATTTTTGCATTGATCTCCTTAAATGTTTGTTATGCTATTTAATATTCAAATAAACTAGGAAGACATATTTTGTACATATCATCAATAATTCATCTGTTTATAAATCAGCTTTGGATGGTTCACAGGAGGAATTATAGTTGTTGACAAGCACATTGATAAACACAAGAATATATTTGTGTGTTATAAACACTTTATTAAATGTTATAAATGTTAAATAAGATGAGGTATGAGCGTGATGAACCTTAAAAATCAACAAATCAGTAAACTTGTAACAATTAAGAAACTTTAAAGCTATTTTGCAGATTATTTGGTCGCTGTGAGCAAAGGAAACACAAACTAAATACAGACTGAGTGAAGACGCTCCAGACCTTTGAGACAAACATGGCAACGCAGAGAAAACAGACTGTGTCATTTCTGCCAACAGCGACATGAGGATGAGACAGAGAAACACTTCCTGATACTCTGCATTCTCTAGGAAGACACGGGATCCTACATTTTTACCAAAATAAAAGTCAAACAACAACAGTTCAACACGCTCTCAGATGAAAAATAATAAATAAAATGTACTCTGAGAAAAACTGACAATGCAACAACTTAATGATTCTTACCATTGCTATTACAACACATATTTCACAACTTATTACAAAATATAGTCTTTTATTTATTATTCTTAATTTAATCCAATGTGTGAACACTATGTTTTCATTAATTACATACTAGGCACAATAACCAAAAAAATATATATTGGAAGACTTGTAGCATTTTGATTAATGCTTGGTGCATATAATGTATTTTATAAACCATTTGTTGTCCTCTTTTCCTACAGTCATAATTATTACGTTTACTGTTATGCTTTAGTTTTTAGCAAACGTAAACCTAAGAGCAGAACTATTTTCAGCAGCGGATTAATCCACATTTGATGTTCTAGTAAGTATTTACAGCAGCAGGATGCAGTGTGTGTTATTTGAGTCAAAATAAACTGTGTGTGTGTGATGAAGGAACATCTCACTCAGTGCCACAGTGTGGCTTAGTGATGTGTTTTTAATTAACAGTGATGGCCCAGAGGAAGAAGATATCATGCTTCAATTTGGATCAATTTATTGTTGGTTGGGTCTTTTCATGGGATTTGGTAACAATAAGAGAAACAAAGAAGACTGCCAGTTTCAGTTTTTTTCCCTCACACTCTGAAAAGGGTGTTATGTCATGTTTCCAATGCGGATAATAAACAAAGCATTGATCAGAGTGATTAGAAACTACAGTGTGTGAGAGTGGTGCTACAGTTTGTAATCTGCTATGTACTAAAGTAATAATTTCTACATTTTAGTACAGCAGTTTTCCTATTGGCCGCACGAGCACATCTGAACTCTGACCTTTTCCGGCATCAGACAGAGTGCATATTTTCATTCAGGTATAAAGTAATGTGATCATATCTTTTTCCTTTAATTATGTTCAAGTGTGCTTTTATTTTGAAGGCTGTGTGAGCAGAAGTCTTAGTTTCCGGTTAGCGGTGTGTTGACAGCGGTGCTTCCACCGTGTACCGAGCTGACAGCACCTGGATGACAGCATGGATAACAACACGCACACCTCCACACACACACTGCCTGCTGCCTATAAAATCACAGACACACACAACGAGCTGCTTACTGCTGACTGCCGGAGCTTTCAACCGGAACCATGGGCGTCATCATCTCACACATCTTCTCCAGGTTCACCTCCAAGAGACCTGTCAGGATTTTAATGGGTGAGATTTCATTTTCTTCTTATTTGACTTTATTATTATAGTAGACGTAGTTGTCGTATTAAGTAGTAGAAGTACAAACAACAATATAGTTAATTTCCTGTGGTGGAGGAAGTATTAAGATTCTTTACTTCAGTATAAGTAATAATACTGTAAAAATACTCTGTTACAAGTAAAAGTGCAATGAAAATGTTACTTAAGTAAAAATATGTAACTATAATCAGAAAATATGTGCTTAAAATACTAATCATTTCAGCTGTCGGTTACATGTAGGTCTATTTTATTTTGTTGGGGAGTTTAATTTAAGCTATTTGTATGTTTTGTGTATAAAAATATTTATAAAGTAACTAGACTGTAGTGGAATAAAAGTAAAAGGTGACATGAAAAGAATAGACTCAAGTAAAGTAGGCTTTACTCGAGGTAGGTCTACCTCAAATTGTTACTGAAGTACGATACATGAGTAAATGTACATGTCCAGCACAGGTAGTTACTTCATATGTAGTTGTATATGGATACTTTATGTGTTAGAAAAGTTATGTAAAAATAAAGTGTTTAAAGTTCTGAATATAATCTGTGGCAACACTAATAATGTGCTGAAACAATTAATCAATTAGCCTATTAGTCTAACTACAAATAATGAATAGTCCGTTTTGTCACCATTTATCAATTTATTTTAAGTAAAACATAAGAAACATACAGTTTTTCCAGTGTAAATATTTAGTGAACCAGTATTGGAAAGTACATTACATTAACACCAAATATAGGTACTTCTACTTTGCTTGAGTATTTTCTTCTCATGCTACTTCATGCTTCTCCTCCACAATAATTCAGAGGGAAACAAATTTACATCTTATTCCACTACACAATAGTTAGCATTACTTCTTGGTTACTTAATAAATTAAGATTATAAATTACCACATGAATTATGAACTTATAAACTATGATGTTGATACTGTTATAGATGAAACTACTTCTATGAACAATTTATAAGATTCAAATTAGTTCCACATCAAACAATTACAACAGTAAAATACTTGATGATGATAATAAGTGCCATTTTCAATGTGTGACTTTTACTTTTAAAGTACAACGTCTGAATACTTCCTCCACCACTGTTGCAAACTGTTCTTTTAAACTGTATATTTTATTTTTTGGTTTGTCAGACAAAACAGTTTAAGGATTTTGGGTCTGACATTTTAATAGACTATATGAAAATAGTCTTTAGTTCCAGCCGGACAAGTAACACTATTAACAGTAGTGTGTGTGTGTGTGTGTGTGTGTGTGTGTGTGTGTGTGTGTGTGTGTGTGTTGCTGCAGTGGGTCTGGATGCAGCAGGTAAAACCACTCTGCTGTACAGACTGAAGCTGGCCGAGGTCGTCACTACCATCCCGACTATTGGTCAGTCATCTATTTGATCTGTTTATATTAATTCACACATTAAATTTAGATATAAAATAATACATAATCATAAAATAAACTGCTCTATCGGTGTGTGCAGGTTTTAATGTAGAGACAGTGGAGTACAAGAACATCAGTTTTACAGTTTGGGATGTTGGTGGTCAGACTATCATCAGACCTCTGTGGAGACATTACTACACTAACACACAGGTAATACTACTGCTGTTACAACTACTACTATGAGAGAAAGACTCAGTTAAAGTATTGTTCATTAAACATAATGTGTGTCTGTCTCTGTCTTCAGGGTCTGATATTTGTGGTCGACAGCAACGACCCAGAGAGGATTAAAGAAGCTGCCAACGAGCTGCACATGATGGTAACGATCTGTCCTCTTTAGTGCTTCAACACTCCTTTTTTCATCATGTAATTCACACACACCTGTACTAACATAAATTAGTAGCGCTGTCTAATTAAAACAACAGCAGAGTTTTACTCCAGTTTTAAGTTGTTGTCAGTGTTACAAAAAATTAACAGAACAGCAAAGCTGAACAAAAATAAGTAAACAAAAACAGAAATATTCTGTATAGTTGTATATTTAGGTCTATGTATACAATGTTGTAAGTATAGTTTTATAGTACTGCAACTATTGCAGAAGTACAAAAGATAGAAACTTGTTTTGTCATCAGAATGATTCATGATCAGGTTAAGGTATTAATTCTTCCACGAGTTAGGTGTCGACCAGTTCTACAAATTAAACCGACTTGCATTAGAGGAGGACATCACCTATTGGTTGATATCTGAATATACTTTTAATGTCACCACGGTTGTGTTTGTGTGTTGCAGCTGGAAGAGGACGAGCTGAGGAGCGTGGCTTTACTGGTGTTTGCCAACAAACAAGATTTGCCCAGAGCCATGTCTGTCAGTGACATCACAGAGGCCCTGGGCCTATCAGCAGTCTCACGGCCGGTAGGTGTCCACATGTGGGAGGAGCTTGCCTTGAAGGATTTCTGGCAGAAAGTCTAACCAACTACTTTTGGTGTCTCAACCAAAACGAACTGCGACTATTTAGGCATCAAAACTAGTCTGTTAGGTTTTGGTTCAAGCTGACTTTTGGTTCACACGGGACACAAATAGCCACCTGTGCTAGCAATCCCATAATGCAAAACGTCCCATTTTACTGATGTGAAAATAACTAAATAACAAACTATAACGAAAATGATGATGATTTATAAATGTCTTAATCACAATTTACTACAGAACAAACTATTGTGTTTATTCTGTTTGTGTTTATTATAGAAATTAGTGAATTAGCTGGACACACAAAGCTGCTTTTGTAAAATCAAAACTGTTAAATTAAAAATTACACTGCTGTACACCTGCTGTGCACTCATATGCACAGCAGTAGTTTAGTTTGAACCTCACCTACAGCGACCTCTTGCAGCACAGAGACGCAGCAGCTGGATTCAATCCGGGTTTAAACTGCAGCTAAGCTAATGTCTTTGTCCCTCTGTGTGTCTTTGCAGTGGTTCGTCCAGTCTGCCTGTGCCATCAGTGGTACAGGTCTGGTCGAGGGTCTGGATTGGCTCTCCAACCAGATCCTACAACAGTAGACGCTGATGTGATGCACCGGTGTTCTGCTTTATTTTGTTTCCTGCTCAATCTTCAAACACGTCTGGCAGTCTGCCGAGCCAGTGAATCCAGGACAACAATGAAGGATCCCTCGTAGCTTTGACATGTTAAAAACACCTCGATCACAAAGACATGTCACTGCTGCGTTCACAGCACACAGAAGATCCTGTAGATCTCAGCTTCCTTCTGGAAGATCAGTTTGAAATTCATTACCTCAAAGTGCTGTTACACTGCAGCGAATGCCGTGAAAAGTCACAAATATCTGTGCCTGCAAATCTTTCCTACATGTGTTGCTTAATTTTTAAATTGGCTAAGGCCAAGGCCGACAATCATGTGTTGTTTAATGTTTGTTAAAACCAATGTGATGTGAACAGATCTTTGGTCGTGGAGCTCTGACAGTCAGTCAGTGTCGAGAAGTGTCAATGAATGTCAAATCAGACAAACATCACGATAATTCATTGATTGCGATTTATAAAATGACACTGCAGCACATAAGTCAAATGTTTCATTGCTAAAATCAAAGCATTAAAATGCTCATCAGGTGTGACCACATATCAAACCTATATATATTTTATTTTGTGTAACAGAAGTATCCGATAGTCCCACAAATGTTTCTTGGGAACAGGTGGACTATCTTTATGAGAAAAATATTTAACTGCACTGATTGTCTTCTTCTTTTCATCTGTTTACAAATGATTGTACTACAGATGTTAATATTCACTTCATCTGTCAGTGATTCTAAACTTATATTCTTAAAGTACTTTTACTAGCCAACTTTGTGTTTCTAGTTGATGTCCTGTAAGTTAAATTTGTACTTAAAGAGGAGTCCTTTTTTTTTCTTGCTATTTGGATAATCACTTATTTCTGTAACATTATTCTATTATTACTATGTAATACATAATAAGTCTTAATGAACATGTATATTTTTTATTAATTTAGTTTATATTTATTTTATAATAAATTTGTTGTGGTGACCAGTTTGTTTATTTTTATTTTAAATACAGATCTTAATAACTATAATATTACCAGCGACTGCCCACCCAAGGTGGTACTTCTGCCTTTGCTTGTTGAAAAACTGTTAAGTAGCTAAACTAATCTGAAAAAATAGAATTTGAATTAAATGAAGTGCATGTTACATACTTAAGCAAATACAAAAGTTCAAACAGCTAAATGTGATAAATAGAAACAATATATGGGCGTTAAAACTAGTTAGCTTAAAGTAATGGATAAACCGTTGAAAAAGCTGAAAGTAATGGATAAAAGGTTAGCTAAAAGTGATTAATAACTCAAATGGATAGCTAAAAGTAATGGAATAAACTGGTTACAATAATTAGCTTACAGTAAATGGTGAATGGCTAAATGATAAACTCGGAAATAGCTAAGCAGGATAAACATTTAAATTGTTCGCTTTAAGTAATAGACAAGTTAAAATAGCTAAAAGTACATTGGTGGGAGTAAATAATAAACAGTTAGAGCCTCTTAAACCAAAGGCATGCAGGGCACACTAGTAACACACTAAATGCTTGCTGCAAAACTATTGCAAAAAGGCACCTCTCTCTGCAAAACGCTCCATCTCATCACAACTTAATAGAATAAACAGTTAGCCTAAAGTAATGGATTGCTGAAAATAATGCATTTATTGTGAAACAGGTCAAAATAATGGATAAAGTAATGGATAAGCTGTTGAAATACATTGCTTGAAGTAATAATCAGTTGAAAAAGCTAAAAATAATGGATGAAGTGTTAATAGCTCAGCGTAATGGATAAAGAGATAGCTTAAATGGCTGAAAACAGCAGACTGACTCGGGGGGGGGTGGAGTTAGTGCTTTATTTATCACTGAAAATCCTTTTTATAATTCATGACACTGAAACAATTATCACTGAAACATATTTAGATTTCAACATCATCGATCCTGTCGTGTTTTCCTGTGTCAGTAAAGTGCAGCTCCATCAAACACCTTCACCTTGTTACAGAAAGAAAACATCCTCCCCTCAAAAAAACACCATAAAAATAAAATCATCACCAGTAACTGTTGATTTAGACTTTTAGAAACTTCATCACCCTGTTAACTTCACCACAGCTGACTGAGGAGGTTTGTTTTTGTCAGAAGGCTGTGACCTCTGACGTATAATATCCCGTAAATGTATTATCTATGAAGCTGGAAGTGAAGCTTATTCAGCTGTTTTTCTACAGATAATCACTGTGAATCACTGTGAATAAAAGGCAGATTGATTAATAAAACAAGTGGAAAACACTTGTGAAAGCAAAGATAAATATGGCGATGTCAGGAGAAAGACTCATTTGGCAAAGAAGATTTGTTTTTATGAAACCTGGTCCTTACATACATAAACATGTTTAAAGGGTTTACTGGATGAATGAAATGTTACAGCTCATAAGAAAAGGCAAACGTTGAGCTAAAAATTTTTTCTTTCAGTTTTCAAAATGGAGAACTCTCATCTCTAAAATCGTTAGTCAGAGGCAAACGGTACATGATTCTCATTAATGAGCACTACTTCCATGCAAATATTAATTTTGTAAGAGGCATGACTTGCAGCTTTTTGAATAAAAATCTTTAAAATTAAAAAAAGGTTTAAGATTTTCCTTCTACCTTCAGGGTGTCCTGTGGTGGACATGCTGGCTCCAGCCCTGACAACATGGTAAATGGGACAGTGCTGGACAGAGCAGAGCTAATGATGTTTTCTGTTTCTACAGTTACCTCAGCAAATACAGCAATCACCAAATCCATGCAGACTGGACGATGTTGTAGACCTCTACATATGTTTCTCTTCACTTTCCAAGCAGCTGCCTTCAGTTAATCTGAAAAAAATCAGCTCGCAGAGACTTGACTTGAGTTTTGAAATACACAAAACAAAACAGAGACACGGCTGTTGTTGTAATGTGGCAACGCAAGACTTTTCCCATCAGTCCAGCTGTTTTAAAAGTAGTCCTGATGACTATGACGTAGGACTGCTACTAACAATAATTTGTATTATTGATTTAGTCATTTTTGGGGATTCATCGAATGGTCTATAGAACATCTGAAAAATATAAAAAAAACAAACAAACAAAAACGTCCAGCACAAATTCTCACATTTGAGAAGCTGGAACCATTAAAGCTTCAACATTTCTGCTTGAAACTATCTTAAATGATGAACAAAGTATTCATTTTTTGATTAATGGACCAATCGTTGAAGCTCTACTGTAATGATGAAGTTTCAAGATTTTGCAAGTTATTTTTCATTCTGCGGTGAAATTAATGAAAAACAGTGACTGCCCGGAAGGAAGGGAAGAACTAAAAAATATCCACGACACTGCAGGATGCTTTGAAACATGGCGATGAACATGTCACAACAGGAAGGACTCTTCAAAATAAGACTCCATGCTCTCTCTCTTTCATCTTCTCTTTTTGTATCTCACACCTTTAACCAACAATACTGAGGTGTCTTACTGCCCTTTGGGACCTCCTGGTGGAGGGAAACCTTCATCTCCTGCCAAAGAGTAGTTGAGCAACAGCCAACACCGATACCGTCTAAATCTGACTTGCATGTTTTCTCCCAACGTCTCCTTCAGATCCTGATTTATTATTCCGCACATCTGTCTCTTTAAATCCTCTGTCACTGCTGTTATCTATTTTTTTTATAAAATAAACATAAAAAACAGAAACTTACAGGTTAATCTATATTTGTGGAGCCGGTATAAAAAGCAGCATTTTTACACACAGAATAAAACCCAAGTCCATGACGAGACGTTTCCATGCCTACTGCCCTCCTTCTTACAGCGAGGGTGCGTTTAGTTTATTCTCCGTTTTCAGAGTGACAAGCTCCACCACAAACTACAGAGTCCAGCAGAGAGAGAGCACATGTTCTTTGTGTCCAGGCAGCCCGGGCGGGCGGGTGTTGTTCCCCTCCTCTGATTCCTGAGCTGTTGTTTTGACAGTACCAGCTGAGACTTGCCTGGGTGGTAAAACATGCGTCCCTCGCTATCTTTGTTAGGCTTCAGACTCGCCCTTCTTCTTCCCCTCCTCCCCGGCATCGCTGTCCTCTGATTGGCTGTTGCTAAGCACTAAGAATTGTCCGTCAGATGTTGGCGGGTTAGCGGGGCGACTCGAAGCGGCGATCAAACGGCTCTGCTCCTCCAGATCCTGGAGGCAAACAACACTCAAGTTAAATATCAGTACAGTCTGTTTTAAAAATAAAAATCTGTTGCTCGGTTTGTGTAGACAACCGTCTCTACCATCATCCTGCAGCTCCACATTTACCATGTGATATTTGTCCTTTGAAAGGGCAAAAGGTTTCCAATAAGCATACTACAAAACAGTAATCCAACTAATCAGTGAAATCTGTGAGGTTTTTGGGTAAAAGTAAAAAAATTGATTTATGATACATCAACATATTAAAGTTTAATCTCGAGCTGATCAACAGGAAATTAATTGGCAGTTATTTTGAGATTATTTAATTTGAAAAGTTAAGTTTTTAAACACATTTTTGTCCTTTGTGTTAATTAAATATAATAAATATAAATAAATAATTTGAAGATGTCATTTTGGCTTTCAGGAAATTGTCATGGGTATTTTACATTTGCATTTTATTGATCAAACAATTAATAGTTAAATATTTGTATTAAACTAAGGTTGCAACTGTTACAAATTATGAGGATTCGTCTGCTTTTACAACAGACCCTAGATACGTGAATACACCAAATATACCAAAATACCTACTAGATACCAGGTATCAGATTTGCCCAATGGAAAACAAAAACAGGCGAGTAGTCGAGGTCAGTTCAGCTGGAACAATCCGGTGGAAAAAGGACTAGTGTCATGATTACAGTGTGATTAAAGAGTGGTTAAAGGTCACCTTCTCTATCTGTCTCTGTTTGCTGAGTTCTTCCTGCTGTTTCTCTTTGGCCTTGTCCTGCTCCTTCCTCTTCTCCACTGCCTTACGGTCCTACACAACAAAAATAATCAACCTCTACAGCATCACCTGAAGCTAACGTCTCCTAAATGTGAGTGAGAAAGCGTTAGCAGTAGCTTCGTTTTAATGAAGTTTACAATAAGTCTCACCATATCAGAGTGGAAGGCTATCTGCTTGGCCAGACCGATGCTATCACAGATCTGAAACACACGAAGAAGACAAACAAAAGGTCAGACGGACCAAACAGTGTTAGACAGCGAGACTAACAGACGAACAGACAGCCGACCTTCTCTCCTTCGTTGTTGGACTCGAAGATGTAGCAGACGGCTCGGCTGTCACCCCGCCCGCCTGCTGACTGCAGAACGAAACCAAACAGCCTCTTGTTGTCCTGATGGGACAAACACTGAACCACACTGGAGAGAGGGAACTATAGGTGGGGAACAGAGAGGAAGGAAACAGAGGAGGAGAGAGTAACGGAGGATGTTAAAGAAGGAGGAAAGAGATGATAAAAAATTACAAACTGAAACTATAACTAAGCAGAGAGACAGATTATCTTACCCTGAGTCGAGTGACTTGTGTCTGAGGATCAATGAGCCTGAAAAAAAAAAAAAAAAAAAAACCAACGCAACAAACATCAATAGAAAAAGCCTGTATCCAAACATTTCTCTCTGTATTAATGTTATGATGAACTCGATGATGTCACGTGAAGTAATGTTTCCATTGCTTCCATCTTTCTCACTGTTACACCTGCCTGTTTGATTTCAGGGCAATAAACCTATTGCCAAGTTCAAATCCTGGTTTACAGAGGTTTTTAAAGATGAATGTAAATGATTTTAAATGAGCAGGCATTTCATTAGTGTATTTTATCTGAATGAAGAAGTTTTAATGTACTAGTTTTGATAGTGGGATGTTACTGTTGCAAAACGATAGGTGTTTTGATTGTATTGTGTCGTTTTTGTTTGTACTGTCGGACTTGCTGTCCTGCTGCCTGTCTTGGCCAGGGCGCCCTTGAAAAAGATATTTTATCATAATGGGTCTTTTCCCCTGGTTAAATAAAAAAATAAAATGTTGTACAGAGATGTCTAGTCTCAGCGACAATTAATCCAACACACACACACACACACACACACAGGTTCATACTTGAGGCAGTCACAGGTGACCAGCAGATGTGATTCTGTCATCCTGAAGATGTTGTGGATGGCTCTGGCTGCCATGATCTGCCTCATGGTCTCAGAGATGACGTCTGCTGATTCCGCCGTCTTCACCTCCATGGAGCCCAGGAAGCGAACGATGAAGAGCTGGTGGAGGATAGAGTCTGTACAAAAGACACAGGAGAAAAAAACAACAACAACAACAACAAACATCACAATATATCCATCTGCATGGAAATTAGCAGGAGCCCATTCTCATCCAAATTCAAGTACAGTTTCCTAAACCTTTAAACACATACATGTGGGAATACACTAGCCAGTTTGGGACGGGTTCTGTGTGGGAGACACACAGATGCTTTCTAATGAAAAGCTCAGGGCAGAAACGGCAAACTGCTTTTTACCCGAATTTATTAATGCTACTAACTGAGGTTCTCCTTCTTGTTTTATTGGCGGGTGCCATTTACTTCCCGTCACGGTCACAGCTAATGTTTTATATACTGCCACCAGGTTAACCAGAAGGGAACGTAGCAAATATTTAAAATACGCCCAGTTGGTTTTTATTTTTTAGAAAGGTAAAAAAATATGGAAGAATCCTGGGAAAAATGGGAGAGTTGACAGGTGTGAACATTTTTGAGTGCGAAATGCTCTCTGTGGCTGATGAGGAACAAAACACCACCAAAAACTGGCAACAGTAGTTACAGTTGATGTTTTCTGCCATTCATCCACAAGGGGACATTAGTGAACAGGACAAAGAAGTCAGGGCACACAGTAACTGGCGTGGACATTTTCATTTAACAAAACTGGAACTGGATGCATCACTGTAACAGAAAACATGAGGAAAAGACAGACGGTACCTTCGCTGTCTTCTGATGTGCTGTCTCCTGACTCTCCAAATGGATTACTTCTTCTGCAGACAGAAATAAAATTGAATTTTATGTGAATCTTACATCAATAGACAGGACACAAGCTTTTCTCCCCCACATGTAGACTCTCAGTAGCCATGTTTACATCTAAATCTAATTTTAAGCACACTTTTGAAATGTTGCAAAAAATAAATAAATAGTAAATGCAATAAGTGCGTTTCCATCGGTTGGTCTGGAGCAAATAAACCATGTCAGTAGTTGATGTTTCACATGGCTGTAATAAACAAGACGTATGGGTTCCAAACCAGAAACAAAACCAGACCTGAGTACCACTGATCTTAGGAAAATGGACAGAGGTCCTTAGAAATGTGTTTCAAGCAGGCATATGTTGCTACCAGCCATGTCTCCTCACATTATGGGAATATCCGTAACGTAGATCCGAAACCACTACCTACTGTATAGAGCGCTATATTTACTGTCTGTCATGTATATACAGTAGCGCACTTAAAAATCCCAAAATGAAACAAAAAAGTTAGTGAATGGTTTCTGACATCTCTCTGGTTCTGTTGAGTTTTTCAAAAGCTGTGAACATCACAAACTTAATTCCATCCACCTCCACTGTATTTGGGTGGAGGCAGAAATCTCAGAGACCCATATCTCAAGACCTGGACCAACAGAAAAACTCAAAATCTACCTGCTTGGAGAGAAACCACTAATGTGTCAGAAAATACATTCTGAATCTTTAAAATCGCTGTTGAAAATAAGAGGGGACACACACACCTGCCGGACTGTGCTGCCGTCTTGTTCTGTCCCGAGTTCTCCTCGCTGACCGGGGAAATAATGTCAAACTGGATGGGTGTATCCGGGGCAACCAGTGCATCCAAAGAGAGCACGGACAGGGCTGGCGAAGGCTCCGAGCCCACAGAGCTAATACTGCTTGCTCGGCCCACACGCCCTTTACTGGAATGAAAAGACAGAGAGAGATAGATGGTCTTATTGGTGGTCCGACTCGTCCAGTTTCACCACAGAAATGTGTCCATCTTTATTATATCTGGCAGCTGATTATATTATAATTATATATTAATATAAGTCCATCCCAGCTTGTAGCTATGTAAGTGTATTTACTTTTCATGTGTAATAATAACAAGACACACACACCTGCTGGGTCTCATGCTCTCATGCCTCTGCTGGAAGGACGGTGACGGCGTCACGGCTTCAAGAGCGGATTGGTTCACTCTGGCTGCCAACTCCTGCCAATAGGATGACACTACTGTCAGCATCAACCAATAGGAAAAGACTTTGAATGCATGAATTCAAATCACTTCAGTAAAGGTTTTTTTTCATATTTGGTGTCTCGCAACTCTTATTTCATCCTGTATATCTATTAATATTAGATTAAGATACAACGCATGGCCAAAAGTATGTGGACACCAGGACATATTCCAGCTGTGTGTCATCAATGAACATGTCACTCAAAGACAACAGGCGTTAATCTGCTGTTAACAATGAGTTAAGGCACCAACTATATTGCGACGCATCTCCAATTCGAGTCCAGCCAGGGACCAGATTCTGCATGCTCTCCTTCTCTCTCTCTCCCCTCATTCCCTGTCAATTCTCTAATAAAAGGTGCTGAAAAAAAACTTTTAAAAAAAGCTTGTATCACCCTGTTGTTTCCCCATTTTGTCTCTTTAAACTTCCTGTCTGCACTGGAAGTGGGTATATGTCATAGTTTGCTGCTGCTTGTGAAGGCCTTGCACCTGCACTTTAGCGAACATGTGATCAGTTTTATAAAATAACATACAGGAAAATAAGAGACAATTTTTCCATGGCAGACTTACAAACTCACTTCTCCAGCACAGTGTGAGGATCAGCGAGTCATCTTATTATGGGTAATGCTTATGGCGGCTACTAGATCGGGGGTCGATGTAGAAGTGCCACAAAACCTAACCTCCTCATCTAACCTCCTTTTTCAACAGAAAGATTTGAATCACTGGACAAATCGGAGGTGTGGGACTGAAGCCAGGCTAGACTTCACCTAAAGACAGCTACCAGACAACGACCTGTGACCGGGTAAATCAAAGTTAATGAGGGAAGTAGGACACAGACCTCTGCGTTCTCACTCAGGTAGATCCTTTTGGAGATGTTGTTGATGGTGGCGATCCACTGGCGGTGGAGGAAGCAGCAGAGAGACGGCGTGAGGACACAACAGAACAGCACATAGTCAATACAGAACAGGTCACATGACATAAAAACATTTTACCTCCTCGCAGTCCTTCCTGCTCTCCGACTGCAGCGTCACCACTCTGACAGAACACAAAACCAGAAAAACGTTCAATCTTAGAGCTCAAATCATTTTCACAATAACTCCGAACACTTAGAAATGGAGAGAACAGTTATGGTATAGTCACGAAAAAGACAAAAAAAAATAAAAATAGGAGCCCTCTCACTTCTTGCCATCGAAGGAAGTGACCTGGAAGCAGAAGCGGCGGTCGTCACAGTCAACCGCCATGACAGAACAGTTGTCAAGGTCTGTGACGAGCCCGCCCGCCACCTCTCCTCGGCCCTGCTGCATCAGATTACCGCCCTGCGTGAAGAAGTACTGACGCTCCCAGGATGATGAAACCAGCCCCGTCTTACTGAGAGACAGACAGAAGAGCTACTTTAACTCGACACCAACAACAACAAGTGTAAAGGTCATAATTTCCAACTTATTTTCAACTTTAATGCATCTAATAAAACTAATAACTAAAATAATAATAATAATAATACTTTAAAAGTAAGTAAGTAAACTTTGGATAATCCTTTTCAGAACAGCATTTAGACAAAAGATAACATAACATACCTTACAACAAATACCTTTTTTACAGTCCACTTGTTTGCCCTTTCTATTACTTATAACAACATTATACTCACCAAGTTAATATCTGAAATCTGAGGACACGGTTATATCACTAAAAAGAATTCTGACGGGTCAAAAAAAAACACGAGCAGTCAGACGATCAGACAGTTTGGAAACCGTTGGAAAACAGTTCATTCAGATGATGGACATCAAACTCAAAGTGAGTGCACCTGAAATATAATACCTAAATGCACCAGAAAACTGTGCGCACAAAACCACAGTAAGTGCAACACGTCAAAGTTGAGTGAGTGTAAACAATGAGTACGTTTGTTAAAAACCTGTTCGATCGCTCGTGTTTCTTGACCCGTCTGACTTTTGTTAAGTGATGGTACCATCTTCCAAGATCTCAGATATTAACTTGGTCAGCACAGTGTTATT